CTTTCTTTTAGTTTCTCATAATATACAGCTTGTTAACAAAAACTCTTAAACAGATACAATTCAAATTACAATAATTCCTAAACCAAGTCTTGTCTTGAGATTTTGTGATATCTTCCGCCATTGACCGTTTTCAGCTTCAGCAGATTCTGCTTGGCAGAGCGGTTGGCGTTGCGTTTGATAGATCTTTATTATCCAAAGTGGATAACCAAGATCTTAGTAAGCAACACATCTCTCAAAAAAATAAAAACAAAAATGAAAGAAGAAAACAAAAGAGAGATAAAATGACAGGAAAGAAAAGGTTTTGGAAAAGAGAATTGATTGTGAAAAAGATAAAATAAAGTTTTTAAAGATGAAGGAAAAAAAATTTTGAAAAAGAATTTTATGGAAAAATTTTAAAGAAAATGCTTGGGAGAAGGGAGCAGAGGCAACACAAAAAAAAATTTAAAAAAAAATTTGTAAGAAGAGTGGGGCGACTGCTCAAAAAAAAGATTTAGAAAAAGTAAAAAAAAGAGAGAGAGTGTTGTTCCAGAGAAAGTGTATGGTATAATCCTGAAAAATACGAGAATTACACCATAAACTTTCTCTACTGCCGAGAATTGCACCATAAACTTTGAATTACTTTCCTTCTCACTAGGCTTTTCTCCATTGCCCTCTATGAAGGTGAGAAAGAAAAATTTCTCCATTGAGGATATTTTCTTGGTGTTTTTCTTAGACAGTGAGCTTGAAGACTTTCATATTTAGAGAGTTGTTTGTGATGGAAATGGATTGGAATATCTTGATTTAAATAGGGGAGGAGGAGGTTCACGGGATCCATTAAGTGGGTAGTTGGAACGGTGAGAGTAAAGGAGTTTCAACTTCCAAGAAGTTGAAAAGTAAAAGGAATCTTTTACTAGTTACCAATGAATTGAAACTGTTTCAGTTTGAAAATCAGTTTCGTTTGGTTTGAGAAACGTAACTGTTTTAGTTTGGCTAAGCTCAAAAGAGTGGCCCAAAAAGAAAGCTATGTACTAAAGGGAAATTATTCCTATTGGGTTCTCAAAGCCCAAAATAAAACTATCATTTTTCATTCCCTATAGTTCTAATTTCTAAAATAGGACGAGGTAGTACCAAAACAATTATGAATTTTTATTTTAAAAGAAAAGTGGTACTATTATTCCAAAGTCCTTTACATTATAAAAATCCCAAGGACCAGTACTTTTAGAGCTAATTAGAAATGAATTAAGGACTAAAGCTTAGTTTAAGAAGACAGATTTTGTAAAGTACCTGAATCGGAGATTTCCAATTTTAGTACCAATACTTAGATATCCGACTTCCATTGCTTAGAGCTCATCAATAATTCATATTTAAAAATAATTGTTAGCCAAAACTAGTTAAGTTCCCCCTGAATTATATTCCCCCTGAATGTATGCGCTTCAGAAAAAATTAAGACAGAATCATACTTGAGATAAGCATAATAAGCGCAATTAAGACAATTGTTGAAGCAATGTTGCAATGTTTAAACCAATTAAGCAATGTTTAAACAAGAAGGTGTTTTCATCAAAGCAAATTAGTGTTTTCACATACTTTCCCCCTGGTTTGATGAAAA